GTACTGAATGTATTGTCAAAGGATTCATGTGCACTTTAAAAAAATACTTCATCGTCCTCGGGAAAAAGCGAACAAAAAATTGGCGCAACCGACTGACATGAGGAACTTCAGCGATCTTATTCACATAACATAAAGTCTGTACCATAGCTTAGCTATCCTCGCAGGATTCTAACAAAACACTTATTCCACTAGCATGTATTTCTATTCTATATGTTTAATTTGTAAATGATTTTCATAAGATTACTTTAGGCTTCCTGCACACAAATTATTAGAATATTAGCAGACCTCATTAGCATGTAAAACTGCGTACTCTAAAAGACCGTCTTAAAGATTAGTCAAATACTGCTGTGTTCCTTGATTACAGACTCATTTACTGAGGTTTAACCTCATTTCAGTGTCAGAATGTTCACATTTACCAACGGTATAATTAGCAATTATTCGCCGAAGGCAAAGTGAATATCGGGGAATATTTACCGAGACGCGAGTCTTCGAGCGGCGACTGGAGCACGTGCATATTCAGATGTTCTCAAAAGAGAACTCGAGACAAAAACACGATTTCTAATATTCTTGTTTTTGGTTTAGCGTTCTCAAGGTTCTTGAAGTAATCGCTCCAATCAAGCATTTCAGCAAGTTAAAAGAATTCGTAGCGATGAAACTACCACCCGGATTCCCTGTTAGAATTGGTAAGCTGATGACACTTCATGTATTGCCTTATAACAAAATATCAGTCTCAAGTAGATTCAGTTGTCCTTTGACAGATCTGAGGGAAGTGGTTTCTCGTTTATAGAGGTTTTGCACCATCACGTGCCCACGCCCATAATACAGCTTGGGCTGCCTGTGGTTAAATGGCAAATCAATAAAATTCCTTTTCTCTTCGTATTTGAATGATTTTTTATGTAAAACGATTGTATTGTTCCTGCCATCTAACATGGCTGCCGTCACGTGATGGTGCAAAAACCCTTTTGCTAACACCGTTTTCTTATGCTGTATATTGCGAGGACCAATTTACTGTTAATAGATGCTTTAATGGTGGGAAGGGAGGAAAATTGAAGAAAAACGCTCGAAGCATAGGAGAGAGCTAACAAACTCTACTAATATGTAATTTCTTGTCCGGTTCACCCTACGGCTACACCGACGCACAGCCCTTGCTTCCCACACAAACTTAGTTTACTTCTAATACAGTTAAACGAAAAATTATATGAATTTAAAAACCTGAGTGTTTCAAACCTATTCTTGATTTTTTCCCCAGAAATTCCAGTTTTTCCAACTATAACAGCGAAAATTACGTTTCAAGATTTTAGACACTGTAATGATATTCCAACATCAATGTTTTTTATTCCACGTGACTATAAGGTAAGCTACGCGCATGCTCAAAGGAAGTGTGGGTTTGTTTTCATATAGTATCTCTCTCTCTCTCTCTTGTCTCCCTCTTAGTCCTTTGTGAAAACAAAGTTTCGTTGATAACAATGATTTTTTTCAAATTTATTTCCGTCTATTAAATTTATCTATTTTGGGAACCCTGTGGTTAACACTTTGCCAATCAGCCTTTTGAACTTTTATTTTGATTTTACAGGAGGATCCCAACAGGTTTCCCGACCTCTAATAGCAATCATCAATAAAACATCGACAATGGCTTTAACTAGTCTGACGCAGGAAGACAAGAGATAGATGTAACGTTAGCTAAATGGGGACAGGTGGGGACGATAAGAGGGTACAATCAAATTAGGTATTGAAAGCCTAGTACATCAATAATTCATTTGGCCTCCCCCAAAGTCAAAATATTTATTTTCTTGTTTGATTCCTGTCGAAAAAGTAGCTTTACAGTCCCTATCGGGAACAGGTAGCTCACCGATAGGGAATTACGGAAAAGAATAAAGAAGCCTGAGGCTATAATTCATTATGTATTTAAGTTTTAACATATTCTTTGTATGATACCAGTTTTCATTATGTATATAATATTTTTGTCAAATAGTCGACTTATATAAGTAGTAGTTTCTTTCAGGGGAGTAAAAGTAAGAGAAAAATAAAAGGATACTGCGATTCCCAGTCACACGCGACCAACTAGACCTTCATCACAAACGAAAAATTGAATTTGGGTGGACGTCAATCAAAAGCGTTTCTATCGTTTCTATTGGTTTTTACACCAGGACTGATGTGAATATTCACGTGAACACGTGCAAATATGCAAAAACCGTTGTCTTTATCTCATGCTTTTTGTCGCTGTGAATTTCTCACTCTGGATATATTTTCTCAAAAATGCCACAGGATTGCGGCTCCGAATCAGTATCAGTATCAGTGTCATTCCGCTATTTCCAACTATAAGTTGATCAGCAGGGACTATATAGTCTACACAGAGCCAAAGTTCTGATGTA